TGCCCCGGCTCCCCTCCCCCACTCGCCCCATGGCCCTGGCTCCCCTCCCTCCACCAGCTCCAGGGCCCCGGCTCCCCTCCCGCCACTGGCTCCATTGCTAGGGAACCTCATAGAAACTTCCCCTATTATCACCCCTATGTCACTACCTCACAGAAACTTACCTTCCCCCCACTCTGTTGTAAAATTTGATTTGTCAATTTCACATGAGTTCACTTTTTTTTTTTTTGGCTCCATTGCTAGGGAACCTCATAGAAACTTCCCCTATTATCACCCCTATGTCACTACCTCACAGAAACTTACCTTCCCCCCACTCTGTTGTAAAATTTGATTTGTCAATTTCACATGAGTTCACTTTTTTTTTTTTATTGTATCCTTTGGTATATATGGTTGTGATGATTTTCTGCCACTATTTGATCTGAGGAAGTGGGTCTGGCCCACGAAAGCTCATCACCTAATAAACCATCTTGTTAGTCTTTAAAGTGCTACACAGTCCTGTCCTTTGTTTCAGCTACACCAGACTAACACGGCTACATCTCTATCACTGATAAAGGCAGACAGACTTCCCCGTTCGCCAGGCAATATCAGTCTCTCTGGTCCTAGGCTGTGTCTCAGAGGTGAGTTCTTCTTTTCCAGGTCTTCTCCCTCCTCCTGGTCCCCTTCTAGCCTCTTCCTTCTGTTACTTCTGATGATCTTCCTCGTCTCCTTCTTGAACCCGTTTATATAATGAAACCTGAGTCTTGCTTAGCTAGACCTTAACCAATTATTTTAGTATCATTTTACTTACCAAGCATAACAAAATTACCTAACCAATAATTCCCCACCACCTTAATTGATTTATACCTAGCAAAATTAATTATACAGCAGACAGAAACAGTTACAAACCAGACAGAGATCACACAGTCAAATAATAGGACAGTGTCGTGACAATGCTCATAGGATGAGGATTCCACAACATCCTCTATGGCTAAGCAGTTTCTTGCCAGACAGAACGGTAAAGATCTCTTTACCCATCTTGAGATCTGTTTCTTTACCTGGTGCCAGTGGGGGGTTATCAGGGCACCGTCCCTCCTCACAATCTGGTGTGACACTTTGTAATACAATTTGGATGGAATGTGAGGACGTGACTCCAGGCCTTACAGGAATGGCTGCTACTCCTCAGTCTGGCTGCAGAAGGCGGCTTTGGTTCAGGCCTAGCACAGGCCTTCCAACATGGCTGCAGAGAAGCCAGATTGTTACAGGATGGGGGGGAGGAAGGTGCATCCATGGAACCTGGCCCTTGAGGCTGGTGTGCGAGTCAGCCAAGGGTGCCCGGCAGGGAGGTGGCGTGTTCCCCGAGGAAGGGCATGTGACTTTGCTCCCAGCTCTAAGGAGGCGCACGCTGCCCCTCCCGCCCTGCGCGCAGTGATGCCTGTGTGTTGCCAGGTCTCCGTACTGCGAGGCTGGCTCATGTTCACGGCTCTCAGCCTGTGGGACCGGGCGTGGCCCTGCCTCCGGCGGCTCCGTGGCTGAAAGCAGGGCCGGCGTGCTGCCTTCCAAAGCAGCGCCCCTGAGCTGACCACAGGGAGACGCCCTGAGCTCCTGGGAGCTGCCTGCCAAAGGGCCCTTGATGGGCTGACCCCTTCCTGGGGCATCCAGCCCTGAGCCCCAGGGACCTGGGAACAGGCAGCTGCATCCCCAGGACGCAGGGTTCGGCCAGGGCTCCTTGGCCTCTGCTCAGCACATGGCTCTTTGATTCCTTAGCTGCCAGAGCCAGCAGGGTGAGATTCACACAGACTGCCCCACAGTGCTGGGCCATGGGCAGGGCCTCTGAGACACAAGCAAGTGTAGGTGGATGCTGGGGCAATTTTCCCAGCTTCTGCCCCAGCCCGGTGCATAGGCCAGCAACAGGCTCCGAGTCGTGGACCTCGATCCTGGGCCAGCACCCAGCCTGGCCTTGGGTTCTCTTCCACTCTCCTG